CGAGAAGGACAAGCCTAACGCTAATCCTACACTAATGCAGGTAGTGTAATTCAGTGTAGGGCTGATTATCGATCCTTCAGCTGCACTTCAGGCGGGTGTCACAGCAAGGGCTCTGGCAACGGGATACCTATTGCATTATCGATCGAGATAGCATCTACGGAGCTAGGTTAGGTGGCGTACATTATACTAGTCCTGACAACGTTAGCACTAGGCCGCCGCCTTGTCAGACGTTCATGTACCAGTTTGCTCAGCATACACTAGTATACACTTAGTCCCATATTAGTCCAGTGTCAGATGCTCAAGGTATTAGGTATTGGGAACCAAGAACAGGAAATAAACCATCAAGAACCGGCTTTTTCCTTTTCCCTTTCTTGATCTATACTCGGCTTGACTCGGGTCACATGTGCGAAGAGCAGAATTACGTTCAATGTCTCACGTCAGTACATATTGGGCCCGACCTGGCTGCTTATCACTTTTCTATCACAGATAGGTGTTCCCGGTGGGTAGTGCGTACGTCGTGGGCAGTGGCTGGCTCATTGGCCGGGAAGATGTCGTTCCGTCTGCTTACATCACTGACTTCCATTGCCTTCAAGGCGGACGTAATGGGTATACAAGATAGATAATATCTACCTATATAATTGTTCCATTCAACCCATGACCTTATATAACTAGCTCTATAGTTTTCTGACACGTGGCTGCTGGGAGTGATGAAATAGTTCTAGCATACTGACCTATCTACTGTAATTGGACATGCTGCTGTAGATTTCTACCTATCACTTACCTACCTAGATGGCTTATGATAATGATGTTAGCTAGTGCTCTGGCTAGTGCAATGCTTCACCGCTAAGAAGGATATATAGGATGAGGCGAACTTGGCCTATATTCTCATTCGTAAGATTGGTATACTTAAGTATGGTGTACGTGTATAGATATAGACAGAGGAGCTTACCGTCTTTTGAATGAAAATTTTTCTTTCCTGCCATCTATATGCACAATTCGCAGGGTCTTGCAAAAACATGAGATGAGATTCAAACCTAATGCAAGGCAGGTAGTGTAATACCAAACCGGTGCCACTAGACTTACCTGCATATGCGAGAGGCAAGGTGCAGTACATCGTAGGGCTGACGAATGAGAAGTACTCTAGGTTGAACGGCTTAGGATCCGCGTCAGATAGGAATAATAACACGCACGCGTGTTATCTTGATAAGTCCCTAGATACTAATGAATGATGAATACCTAGTATACCGAGTAAGAATGTATGCAGGCCAAGCCACACATACACGTCTGCGTTCGTTGCTAGGCATTGGTCACTTACACGTGCATACACCCATACTCACGATTAATCAAGCGCGGACATGTGCGCGAAACATAGGTAATCAATCACACACTAACATTTAACATTATCCCGACGATTTTGTGACAAAGTGGACTGGACACATGTGTGCCCCGTGGCTATGCCCTGCGCTGATGGGGTGCATGGGGGGGGAGGGTGGCGGGCTTGCGTAAGATTATTGGGCGGTGAGTACCACAGCAGGTAGATAGATATAACACCTATTGAGCCAATGTACGTAGAATCTTGCGCGGTGTCCGAAGGGCACGGAGTTGTCGGGGCGGATCAGACGGTACTCGGCTCGAGGCTTACGCACTACCCTACCTTCAACTGACTACCTACGCTACACTATGGCTTACGCTTTATGCTACTCGCTCAATCTGGAAACACCCTTTTCATTTCCAGCGCTGACGCTTGGCGGCTTCCAGGTCTTCGGAGATCACCGACATGGACGAATTTCAGCTTGTTTGGGATATGGCTTTTGAGGCACAGGTGTCGACAGATATTATCATGAAGAAAGGGGATACGGAACCCAATACGAAGACGACGGGGACGGGGACGGATAGTTTCAGTCATTAATGCCCAACGAGTTATAGAGAATGCAATGTTCAATTTAGAGGGGTTCGGATATCTTTTAATTACTTATGCCCGTAGCCCCCCCGATAATGAGAAAGCCAGCCACCCTATCCAGACGCCCCGTGTATGCTGAAGGTTCGATGCAATGTGAAAAGTGGATGAGAATAGATAGTAGGTTAACAGTGGTAATGTAGCGACCCGATGCTCCCAAGAGAAAAAAAATAATTCAAAAATCCGCAACGCCATACCATGCAGTAAATTACTCCCAGTTGATCGAAAAAAAGATGCAACAGATGAGATGCAAAATCAAAACTCCTGAACCGGTAACAAGAACCGGACCTTCTTCCTGGGCTTCGCAGCCGGTATATCTATAGGTTGTGTCTTCTTCTCCGAGCCGTCATCGAGGTCCTCGATGCTCAGCCCCATCTCGCTTCTCGTCTCCTTATCGGGTTCTTCGTCGATGGACCAGACGTCCGGGCTAGGTTCCCGCCAGGAGTGCCGCCGTTGCAGCGTACGACCGGCGGGCCTCCCGCGGACAACATGTCGAGGCGGTGGGGTGAAGCGCTTGGCTAGGCGACCCCTAGGCGATCCAACATGGAATGAGGATGGTGATAGTAGAGAATCGGCGCTTTGTGACATTGTATGAGCGGAGGAACCGTGTCGAGGATGGTCAAAATAGTCTTCGAGACCAAACGGAAGTGACCTCTGAGCAGTAAAGCGTATGTAATCTTCATCATCATCATCGTCCTCGTCCTCGTCGTCCTCCCCTCTGTCCGGGACATTGTAATCCGTTTCTTTGCTCTTGGCCTTGTACCGTCTGAGACCATCGAGTGTAGAAGGGCTTACACTTCGGACGATACGACGCGGGCTGTTTGAGTCCTCGATGCCCGCATCGAAGTCGAACTCAAACTCTAGTTCATCATCTCCGGGGGTCGCGGGCGTCAAAAAGTATTTAAGAGGATTCTCAGGCCTTGTAGAGCTGTCGATGTCTTCATCATCCGTGGATAGGCCGTCCCTGTCCTCGTCAAGTGCCGGTGGGATCCGGCTGGGACTTGAAGACCACACCCCGCTGGGCGGCCATGATGGCCGGTGCACTGCATTAAGTGCATCCGAAGGTAACAGAGGCATGTTGATTGATTTTAGGAAAGTTTAGCGAAATGAAGACCTTGATCCGGGTGATGGGCTCCAAAGTATCATCTCCAGCCAGGATGGTTTATATAGTTCACGGGTTGAAAGAATGGTCACGCTCCTTGGAAATGCAGACCTTCTCTAAACTGCCGGGCCCAAGCCGGCTCAGAAGCGAGAAGTGTAGTGGAGAAAAAAAACGAAGTCGAAACCTCGAGCTGAAGTGTCGGTAGGAGGAGCACAATAAGACAAGTTATGGCAGCGGGGCTCTTTATATATATATGATTTATCGTAGGCAGAAGGGATAGATGAGCGAGAGACAGAAGTGACTAGCACTCGGTTAGTCACCTGCTGGCGAAAGAAGCTGCCTTGTGGGTTCGTCGGCAGAGATGTGAAGGTGGTGGTCATCCCGGTCACTCAGCTGTCGAGCAGGGTACAAGTACTGAAGATATCTCAGAAAAGAAAAACCCCACAGACGCGTCGGGCTTATTGCCGTGAATTAATGATCATTGATAGGGCGCAGGGCACGAAGACTCATATCTTGGGCCAAGAGAGAAACTGAGGGACCGTGAGGGAGCGAGGTAATGTTCCCAAAGCGGAATAATGCACAGGGAGATGGTGTGCAACCCAGAAAGGAAAACCGGTTGAAGATACGAGCGCACATCAAGTTATCTACCTACTTGCCTGGTAGTCAGACAAGAGACAACCCCCCCACACCTCTTCGTCTTGTCACTTTGTCAGTCTTGTCATGTGGGCATCTGACATGGTCGCACACCCTCTCTCACTGCCGTATCTTCTATATCCGACATATTGTGCGTCTGTATGCGACGCTGATGAGGCTCGTGAGCCTTCGTATCATTCGCTGCTGTCTTAGTTAGTTGATCGAAATGCATAGGCGGGGATCGGGATTGCGCATCGCTGCTGCAGCGCGTCCGCTCTGTACCTTGCATGAGTTGGGTGCTCAACCACCATGTAGATATGCTGACCATTTGCGCACTGCGGTGGCGTGATGCGCACGACTGAGTGAATTCCTAATGAGCAACTCGGCTGCTGCGGCTATGACGGAGTGCACGAGCAGTATAATAGTGTAGATTACCTGCCTAGCCTCAAGTATAGGTGGCTGTAAGCTAGGTACCTCCGTCGGAGTCGTGTTATATAAGTGAACGTACAAGGGTACCGGTAAGATCACCCACGAAATATACCTATTAGGTATAGTATCACAAGTGAGTGCTGGAGAATGACCTCTCAGTCTTCCGTGGTGATATTTTAAACAAGAAGCTATTATACAAGAATCCATGGCGCTGAAATAATCAACACTTATTGGGCGAACTGGCGTGTTCGGGTCAGGATGCTGATATCAAGAACGACTTACCTGTATTACTGCACCTGGAAATAGCCAAGCCAAGAAGATGTGCCTATGCGGAGACGGTCTCCCGCTCGCAAAATGCCATCTCGCGGCTTCTACTACCACCAAAGCCCCCACCACACTCCCGCCACCTTCGGTGTGACTGGGGAAATGTAACCGTGAAGAGCTACTTGCCTGAGAGAGCCACTTGATTTGAAAACTCCGGCATGCGTCAGGTGATGGGGCTTATCGAGGCCGGTCGCCCGATTGCAACCTAGGAATGTGAGGAGAAGAGGACCGACAATGAACCGTCATGGTTGCGAGTGATGACATTCACCGGGTGAATTCGGGAAAGAGGTCTTGTTGACTCAGTAGTGTGTATACCTTGATGCTACGTTGAGGTAGGCCTGGCGTTCTCTTTTCTTTTTTTCTTTTCTTAATAGAGGTGCGAATTCTGTTCCTCGAGGTAAGCCGAACTGAGGCCAGCCAGCACTACCGATCCGGGGCGCGGTATTTTTCTGTCTTAGCGGCGCCACAAAAAAACCTCCCACCCAGGCAAAAAAAAAGCCAATACTTGGTTTAGCGAGTCGGCAACCCACACAGGAAGCTCACATCTTCCTCTCGGGGCTTGTGGTTTAGTGGTATAATACTCCCTTAGCAATCTGATTGCCTCTCTCTTCCGAGAAGCAAACGAGAATCTGGGAGTGGTCCGGGGTTCGATTCCCCGCGAGTCCAACGCTGGTGGTTCAATCCCACCTATACCGAAACTTTGTCCGAATTGGTGTAGTGGCTAACATTTGACGCTCTCATCCCGCATCGCATACACAACAGTCTGTGATGTAGTGCAGTGCCGTCAAGCCCGGGGTTCGATTCCCCGATTCGGAGTTGCTCTTTATCTTTTGGCCCGCAGTTCCTCGGAACTCGAGATTCTTCTTTTTTGTGCCTTTTCTTCAAGTTTTCTTTTTTTTCTTTTCCTTTAGAAACTTGCGGTTGGGTAGTGGAAGATAGGTTAGCTGAGGTAGGTACCTGCTGAGGTAGGTTACATAGGATGAATCCGAAGGGGAGGGGGATGATCTTGTCGATCTCTAAGATACCTATGCAACCATTGAGGATAGCGGTAATGTTACGCGTTGGCCCTGGATGTGTAATTTTTTTACTCAAGCGAACCTAGAGGCGATGCCTTGTAAATAATCATGAAATATATCGTAGATGGATAGAAATAAACTATATCGAATTCTTTCAGAGTACAGCATATAAACACTGTTTATAGGCTATACCTTGAGCACTATCCACAGCTATAAGCACTATCTCGAGGCTACAAGAACAAGCACTACCCCTCCCTATAGGCACAGTCCCCAGCATTGTCCCTCGCACCTTCACAACAAGTTGCTGAGCAAATCTGGCGAGGATGTGTCACGTGAAGGCCGCAACCACGTGAGCTTCGGCGTTTCATAATCAAACTATCACTTTCTCATAGGCAAGTAAGTAAACATCCTACCTATCGTCATTTGGTTTGTCGCGACCGTCGATCCTTATTCGATCAAGTGCCCTGGTCATACCGTCATAATTTTCCGGAGCAATTTCTTCTTATCCCCGAAACGCCTGACCTGTCAACCAACCCAGTCTGGGTTGTCTTGCATGATTGAATCTGCTATGCTGTTCGACAAGCCAGGTTCGACTAGGTCTTGGAACCGGGAGCGGATCCTGCCGTGCTAGTAACACAACACTCTGCACATGGCCGCATCTTGGGTGTCGAGATCCACCCAACCGGGACACTGAACATCTTGGGCAGATGGAGCAAGGATAGTAAATAGATCCTTGCCAGCCGTCATCTACGGACAGAGAGTCAAGAGATACGATCAGAAGATCGGTTGATCCAACGACTCAGCCGATGCCAGGAACAGTGACGGAATATCTCGAGAAGGCCTTTAGAAACTTATTTTCAGTTCTAGCCAGGTGATCGTGCACAATTTAACCCACATGGATTCCACTTCTCTCATGGAGTGATCATCTTTAAGGGGACGATCGACATCGTCAACCAGCCAAAAAACCAATGCTGCCTTCATAGGTTGAAACTCAGTTTCGGCCACTCTGAATCCCGTGCTCGACTTTGCTTCAGCTTTTCATCTAACATTCTCGACAGGCCCTCTCGTGTTCGGAGCAATGACGATGCATTGAGCGTCTGTCGTCAGTCTGTGCCAGGGTATACTATGTTTGCTGCGTTCCCTCCCATGGGGACCAAGACTCAGCTGGTCACGGCTGAACTCTGTCTCGATTGGACAGCTATTGATGGAGACATGATGGCAGCATGAATCCTGCAGTTCTTGCTCTCTCTTTCGAGCCATAAAGGGAAAGACCGATTCTGGGCATCGCGCCCCATGGTTCCCGGCCTCCTGAGGCAGCCAGGGTGAACGATTGGCCGAGTTTGTTGGATTTTGCAACGGGTATCCTTGGTATGCTTTGACTACCCACAGCACTGCATCTTTTCATCGACATTTAATATTGCAATGGCGGAAGACAGGAGGTTGGGCTGGAGCAAAGACTGATGCCCATCTTACAGACTGGACTCTCTCGCCGTCCGTGCACTGAAAGGGGCCACGAAATCATTCTTGGACATGTCACACTATCCACCCAATCGGAACCATGATACATATATCAGACAAGATGATTAGCAAAGCAAACCTGGATTATTCACGATGAAGATCATCTGATGGTGAGGAAGATGCGAGCAAGCTGGCGCGGGGTTGGTCCGCAAGTGCTTCAATTGGTGACATATTGCTGGTACGATCGCAAGAACGGCGACAGCACCCGCACATCTGGGTCATCCATGGGGTCTACTCTATTCCGTGTCGCAGTCTCACGTCAAGGATGAAGGCTGAAGCGAGTATGCCATCTCGGCCTTAACCGGCTTGGGGTATGTCCATCTGCCACGACAACCTGGGCATGGGAAAGCCGGGGGGCCCATGTTCTTCCGAGCGAAATGAGAACAACCACGTCACATCGAAATTTGACGCAGGGTTGCCAGTATGTATTCCCGCAAACTCCAAGACGGGCTTTACCCAAAGCCACTTAGCACACTTCCATCGTGGGGCAGCTCGGTATCGATACCCTAACGACTGGGACACAATGACGCAGCGAAGAAGTCCCTCTAGTAGAAAGAGCGGTGAGGCGCCATATGGAGAGGTATTTGATATACCAGCCATCTTTCTCCACGCATGTCGAAATGCCAAGAAGTCCCACCACGAAATGTGGCTGTCTTCACGATACCGATACCTATCGATTTATTCGACATCTAAATGAAGGAGACCGGTATGCCTCTGGCATCGCCTCCAAAATTCGTGGCTCACTTGGAGGCATCAATGTCGTGCATAGGAATCGATGACAAGACGGGGATACGGGCGTTCTAGATGAGTCATTGGTTCATCCCTTGCTTTGCTGTTAGCAGGGGTAAAGTCGACGATGATTTTTGGCGTTGAACACTGGAGGTGGTTATATGACAACTCGGCCGTACAGGGGTCAAGTATCCTTCTAACATCGACGCGATCTATCTTACGGAATTCTAGAATTTCGCTGCAGATATGTTCTCCAAGGCCACCTAGTTAGTACCAGACCTAGAGAGTCAATAGAATTACAAGAAGGTGTCTCCAGAGGACGAATATTATAAGACAGCCCACCTTCAAACCTAGCATCCCAAGAACGCCGATTATGGTTGGCTTCGTATCGACACGTAGACAAGTGAAATCTGTCTGCTAGAATATTACACAGACCATGGCTGGAGAGATCAGGTACGCCTCCATGCACGCAAGCTGAACCATCTTCTCTCACATGTCGTGCGTAACGAAAGAGTCTTCATTACGGTTGCCATTCGCTTGGCTAACCGACCTTAAGCAGATGGCCTGTTGTTTTCTTTTGGCCTAGAATGCAGGATGTAGGATTGCATGCAGAACTGATGCATACACTACTTATGTATGTATATGGTCGAGGTAGTCACAGCCACATATTCTCGTGTCTAGTAGGCAAAATAACTCCAAGGTGAGCCAACCAATTTGCACGAGTTCACAATTCATGAGATATCCCGGGCAATGGTGTGGTCTCTGAGGATGACAACACTCTGGTATGCTTTCTATGCATTAAGCTTTGCAGTAGCTTGACCGGGCACTGCTATGTTATGTGGATGATGACCTAGTTCTCTTCACATACGCCATCCCATTCTAAGGATTCATCGAGAATCTCACGATGAGCGACATATTTAGAAATAGTGTGGGCATCTAGACGACAACCAATCATCGAATGTTTCAAGGGGCCAACTACCTAGGGGTAGGAGAATTGACGACCAGAACGCAACCCATGGCAGATTGGGGGTTCAATTGTCGTTCGTTCATCGTCTCCGGTATCGATATAGTAGAACAGGATCCTACTACACCTACACCGTGCCAACTGCCAACGGGGGCCAGAGTGCCCTGTGTTCGGACAAGTGTTCAGTTGGGCAGCCCGGGGTCCGCAGACCGCTCTGCCGTTCCGCCATGCCACGTCCTCCCTACCTGGTACCTTGGTTAGTAGACACGGTTCTGTATTGTATACAGGCGTGGTATGATGATGTGCAGGCAAGAGGGCAGCGAGGTACGATGCTCGAGGAGGGTATATACGCTATGGGTGCAGAGGAGCCGCGCGTGACCTCGTTTCGTGAAAGCGCATGATCTCTTTTTCTCATCGGGGGCTACTTCGTACAATACTACCTACACCACACTATATGTGGATATTGTGCAGTCCCGCCCTGGATTGGCCCCCATTGCGGGCGTGGACGAGTGCTGGCTAATGAGAACTCCCTTACTTATACAAAGTAATAACGCTCGGAATGGCAGGGCGGTGGAGTGGGACTTGAGCCACCTACCACAGAAACTTGCCTTACCTAGGTATGAATTAGGTATGCATTGAATGGGTGTGGGATGTGTCTTGGTACTTTGTCGTAGTTGGGTGGGTTTCGTGTGGGTTTCGTGTAGCCAGGCAAGTACAAGTATGCGAGCACTGACTGACTGACTAACTGACTGTCTGCCTCTATGATTGTGCTGTCCTTCTTCTGCCTGCAACAGGCAGGCAGGCAGGCGGATGCCTAGCTAACGTAGATGATTGATTGATTGATCTGGGTAGCGAGCGAATAATAGGCCATCGTCTGAGACTGCCTAGATGGAGCCGTAGACCGGGACATGGCGCTGCTCTAATTACCTACCTACCTACTTCTATACGGTACTTTGTATACCTACCTGCTTAGATAGTGTATGCGTTGTCGATGACTCCCAATGCTCGAGTTGCTTTTGCTCGTTTGGAATATTCAAAATTCTACTGTGTGCATGCGGTCATACTGGTCTCAATTGTAGAGCCACAAAGATCACGAACCATACCTAGCAAAAGGTTCACTTTTGTTTTGATATTTCCCTTCGCTGACCGGTCTATCCCTTCTGGTATCCAGTTTTCCAGTGTTTGTAGAGCACCACCGCCAGTCGCAGGTCTTGCTTATTCAGATTTTGAGATATATCGGCAGTATTGGTACCCAAAGCCCAATTTGGGCATTAAAAACCCGCCACAGACAGGATTCATTCACCCACCGGTTCGCTTTGGTTGAGAGGCACCACAGACGTCACCTCTTTTTTTTTTTTTTTTTTTGTGTGTGTTTCTTCTGGACTTTTGGTTCTCCGAAAGACATTTCTCACCTTTTCGACATTACTAGAACCCCTCCCTGGATTTTCCGTCAAAATCTTCACTTGTTACTCAAGCCACGGGACTCGTGTGTTCTGTCTTCTGCGCAGCACACCACGCAAAGCTGCCAGGGCGAATCTATCCGTCGACTTACACCGAAAAGGGTACACCCGCCCACCTACGCTACGCCC